CTTATCGCATAGTAATTAATTATTAATATCAAAAATGTATTTCTGTTTTTTCTTTTTACATATTTTGTTAAAAGGCCAAATAAGGACTTCAAACCAAAAAAAAGTAATTTTCTGTTTTGTTTTATTCTTGGATCGGGATTTAAAGGGTTAACCTTTTTTTTATAAACTCATTGAAGAGCATGCTCTTTTTTGGATACTTAAATTTTTATAAATTTTTAGCAAGCACTTTACAGTCAGCTATATTCAAGTAAGAATACAATGATTAAAAAAACAATAATATATACAATAATAAATCTTTCATCTAGAGCGGAGGTCTTCAACAGGGGGTCGCAAAGGTTTTGGTTGATTAGACTTTTTTTTTAAAAAGTAAATTATAACATTTATTTGTAGGGTTTATAAAAGATCATTTAAAAACCCACTGCAGTTTCAACTTTTGGGGCAGTGATAGCAAGAATCTAATAGCTCTTCTAAAAGGTTCTAGCTACACTTACTTTTGATCTATTATACATTTAGGCCTGAACCGATCCCGCTCACTACTGATTTAATTGGTGAGTTAAAATGTGTCTTCTATCATCCTTGTATATAACAAAGACCTGTTTAATCGTCTCCATGGTTACTAAAAACCAACTACCTTTGATAAAGTCATTGATCAGGGTTTATTTCAAATATTTTATTAGAAAAACAGTAAAAAATGGGTTGAATTAACCTTTGCAAATATTTGTTTACAGTAGAACTCTTATAAATTCATCAAAGAATCAGAACCAGAACATGGACTCTGCTGCTTATTCTTGCTGTTAAAGTAAGGAAGCTGAGATATTTCTGGTCACAACTCAGTCTCTTAATCTTAGCTTAGATCCAGACTGGGTCATAAAAGTTCAGTTTGATCTCTGACCAGAACTTGTTCTGACCCAAACCCAAGATGTAATTGAAGCAACCAGCATTGCGATGCCTTTAGGGACCTTCAGCAGCCAGCAGAGACTGGAACTGTGTCTTCAGGGAGGACCAGGAGTACAGAGAGGTGTCCACCTGCAGAACCAAAACCACACAGACACAACTTTCCATTAAAATAAAACTCAAACTGAATTAGCAAAAAAAAAAAAAAAAGGGGGGGTTGATAATGATGGGGTTACCATGACAACATGTCTACGGGCGAGGTCAGGTCTCTTGCAGAGTTCCTGTAGCCGCTTACAGAGCTGCTCAGGGGTCGAGTACAGGTACTGATCTGAGAAGAAGAGTAGAGAGAGGTCAGGTGTTGCAGACATAGAAGTAGAGCCATCTCCGATGTGTTTACCTGGGAATATTTCAGGATACACCAGAGCCTTTGGACACAGAGGAAAGCATCCGCAGTGGACGGCTTCCAACCTGAAACACGTCAGAGACTCCAGATCAGATCAGATCAGATCATCAACACTCTGGATGGAATCAGGAGGAATCAGGCTTCTGGTTCCGTTAATCAAAGGAAACAGGTTAGTAGTGCCATAGTAGTGAACTACTATGGCACTAGGGATGCACAATATAATCGGCCCCCTATCGGTATCGGCCTGTATCGGCCTTAAAACTGAATATCGGACATCGGCCAGCCATCCGATATTTAACCTGATATTTGATCAGCTTCTGAGTTTCTAAAGTCTAAAAAAAAAAAAAA